CCTGACCCATACGTTAAAGGCTAGCGGAGTTAGATCTGGGTTTCTTGCAGGCCACGATATGGGGTCTCCTCTCCCCATCCATCGATTTGGAAAACGCAGATCAACGTACAGAGAGTACGTTGATACAGTTTGTCGATAATGTCTTGTCTTTATCTATGGATAATGTACTGGACATCCGTCATGCTCGAAGATCGGGTTCTGACGAATATTTAGCGGCACATGTTCCATTAGTGGTGGCAGGTGGTTCATAAGAATGACGTCGTATCTTTGCCTATTTAAGGTGTCTGGCAGGAAATGTGAACCGATGATTTCATCATTTGTTACACCATACCAAACATCAGCACTGAACCGTCTTTGGTAATTACGGTTCGACATTAAACGGGGATTTTCCTAGGCCCAGTAATGAGCATTATGGTAGTTGGGAATCCCTTCTCGATTAAAATTTGATTCATCGGGCCACAAAATTCTACTGAGAAAAGTTATCTCCTCCATATCGGCTTTTAACATGAATCGGCAGAAGTCCATTCACCTTCATGCAGGAAGAATCTTCTTCATGCAGGAAGAATCTTCTTCATGCAGGTCTTGAACCAGCGTATRATGATGGGGATGTATTTTCTCTTTGTTCAATRTCCGAACTTTCCACTKTGATACCATAAGACGCATAGTCGCGACGCGTACGCTSGTCGTCGTAGGATCTTCTTCAATCCCCTAAGAATGGCTTCTTCGTCATTAGTACCGTAACTTGCTGAAGATTCTACGTGAATTTGTCTGCCTTGTACTTTTTCTGACTCAAGGCCCTTCGATAGGTGTTTGCAAAAGCACAGATATTTGGAAGGCGCCTGTTTGGACATTCACGCTGATATTCGCGGGGGGCTTTAGTGCTATTTCTGTCGCAAAGTCCATATATGTAAAGGATATCTGCGTATTCATGATTTGAAAACTCGGCCATTTCAACAAATAAAGTTTTCAACTAATGTGAACTTACTCAACGTTACGTAAAACGCAATAACAAGGTGACAACTAAAGTTACCTAGACACTCGAAATGATAAAAATTATGAATTTTGTCAATCAGTGACAAAAACTAGTGCAGAGCAAACTTTTTAATAAAAACCCGATTACGTTGTGCAATAAATCGGTTTTAATTTGTTTACCCGAAAACGGGACGTTGTAGAAAAAAAGGTCAAGAGACCTTTTCTCTTCCACATTGAACAGGAATTTGAATCAAGATGTTTAGTGCTTGAAAAATCAGTGACGTAACACTTTTCTGTTTAAAATTATCTACAGACGTGGCCGTACCCATGCCACTGGAAAAGCTAGAAACAAAATTTTTATCACAAAACATGTATTGTTGTTAATGGCCTAAGCCTGTAAAATATCATTATAATATGCCAAGCGGTTTCCGAAATAATAATAAATAACATTTTTTAATTAAAACTTTAACAACCTGTACATCGGAAACTAAGGGTTTTCGGAACATGGTCTATTAACGAAATATATCCAAAATTACTTGCACTATCATTCCCTGTAAGGAATGCATCTACTTACCAAACACCCTGTATATTTTCCTTCTTTATATTTGTAGTTATTCGTTTTTACTTGAATGTCGAAAAAAATGCTTTTAAGTTCATCTTCGTTATCATTTGCTGCCTTTATGGCTTGTTTTGCTGCATTTGTGATCCATTTTTAACCCTTCGTAGTTGTTTTTGCATGCTTCGACTCTTTCTCTGTTCCACAGTAAACATTATATTTTCATCACTTTCCAGAATTTTTTTCTTTCGTTTCTTTCTCTCATGCGTTTTCCCTTCACTGAATTGCAGAATTAGTAATTCAGTTTTTACCGCGCTGTTGAATCTTCAATTTTTCGCGGAAACTGTTTTAGAAGACACCACTTGCATCTGTAGGAAACTTGGTCTTAGTTTTTTAAATTTTCTTGAAAATTTTGTCTAGCTGAGCCCAAGTCTAAATGAAAAAATCCGGACTTCAAATCGTTTCGAGTTTAACAACGGATGCTTTTGCGAAAATAACTCTTTTAGGCACTTCACTTTTTCTGTCTCGGCCTCTTAGGCTTTTTCCTCTTCCTTTATTTTTAAGTTCTGGTATTTTGTCTTATGACCCCTTTTCCATCGCTTTCATTTTCATTCACTTGGTTGTCTACATTATTGCTTTCAGTTTTATCTTTGTGGTCACATTTGACATTGGTAATTTCCAAATCCTCATCATTTGCTTATACTTTTTTTATATTATTATACGTTTTACTGTTAATATTGTCAATAGTGATAATATTTTGGTACACTGCAAGTCCGTTTTCTTCGGTTCGTTCTCTTATGCGATTTTTTCTCATAGATTTAGCACAATTTTTTGCGCCTTTATCGTGCTGTTGTTCAATCTACTTCAAATTCCCGCTGAAAACTTACCATTTGCATCTGTCTAAATTCCGATGAAATCAGAATTTTAAAATTGTATTTTTTCGTAAGCGCTAGTAAATTCTTCAATTAGAAAACGGTTCGCCTTCCTCTGTCTGAAAGTTAAAATAAACATACTTAAACTTTCCTTTATAGATTTTTTACAATTAATTGTCACCTTTATCGTTCAATCTTCTTCAATTTTATGTTGAAACTGATCCAAAGCTTACCCCTTGGATCTGTCCGCAATTTATCAAAACGTTATAACTCTCAATCAATTTTTTTGTAAAAAATTTGAAATTTCTGTAAAATAATATTCACTTATTTTGAAATGAAGCTTTAAATTATCTAACTGTTTCGCGCTTGGCCGAAACTAGTTATAATCGATTTTCAAATACATGCTAAACTAAGTGCATTTTTTTAGAAAACTCACATCCTTCTTCCGTCTAATATTTTAAAACTTTCATTGTACTTTACTGAAACTTTATTCTGCTCGAGTCCAAATCATGTCAAACTAAACACAAATTAAAACCAAAATTCGTTAATTGCAAAACCTGCTTTTAAACAAGCCAAATTTTGAATTTTTAGGATTCGAACATTCTTCACCTTCATCTATCTCAATGTTCACAAATTGATTAGTTCTATTAACTAAGTCGAGAGTGCTTTTGCCTGGTTTATATAAGAAAGTTTATATAAGCAAGTTGTATAGCAAATAAAACTTACATTATTTTGGAGCATTAGGTTTTTAAATTGCGAATTTGCGGGTAAAATGTAAATGCTTTCTACGGATAAAAGAAGTGCAAACATTTTTAAACAATCTTACAAAATATTATAAAACTTCTCGCTGTGAATATTCGGGCAATTAATTTCTCTCAGAAGCAGAGTTTTTGGCCTTAAAAGCTCCTCAATACTCAAATATACAGAGTGATTCAAAATTATTTCAAACGTTTATATTTATAAAATTCCTTTTTGGAAATTGTTTGCGGCATACAAAAATCCAACGAATTTGTGGCCAGTTTTTTCATTCCAATAATATTCAAGCTTGAAATGTATCACAATGTCAAACATGCATAAAGTTTGCCATTTTTGTGGGGACTTGAGTCAAATGTACTTTCAGGAACATTTCCAATTTTATTTACGGCCGAAGAAGAAGAAGCCTTTAGAAAGCACCGAAAATAAAGCCAAGTTTTGATGTTTTAAAATATTCAATAATTGTTTACTTCTGGCAATTTTTCCCTTTATTTTCTAACTATGTCTCCGTTTTACTGTTAATTTTACTGTTTTGCTCTAGATCTGCCCTCTGACCCATTCTGTATACTTCATTTTCATTTGCTTCGCATTCAAGTCATTATTCATGAACCTTTGCTCTTCACCTTAGCCTTATAATTGTAAGGCATCGACTAGTTTACAAGTTGCTGTACAGCATCCAACTTCAGCTACACTTGAAGACATCGAGTCAATGGAGCGCCTAAACCATCCATGCAGAAGTCAATTTTCTTCAAGCGCCCAATTATTATGTATTTAGCTGAACGTTCCCGAGGCTCTAAAGACACCGATAATTAATTTCGGGAATTAAGCCGACAATTTGCCGGCTTAAGAGTTTTCGACAAAGAAGCGAGTTAATTGAAACTAAACGCAGAGAGTTTTTCACACGCGCAACATTCGCCTGCTGCTTTGCATCCAAGTTTTCTGTCCAAATTCGATTTTAAACTTCCCAAGTGAACCAACCAACTTTGCCTAAATAAATTTCACATCAGCCCTTTAAATCGCAAATCCATGTAGTTAAGTAACCGCGTCTCGGCGATTTAATGAGCCGAACTAATTTGGAACGAAGCGTATTACCTTCCTGTCTGGCCTAGTTTCGAAGGAAAATGCTAATAAAGGAGCTGGTTAACATATAAGTTTTTTCCGGTTTACTGACTAACTACTTTTAGCATGCGCTGGCAACAGCGAAGGGCGTTGTAGTGAGCGAACCGGCAACAGATTACGGCATAGGAGTTGGCCAAATTTTTTCTAATATTAAATGTATGCGCGATTGAGTGAGCTGGAAGGCCCTGAGGGCACGAGTCAATTTGGGCTGCCACATAAATCGCTGAAACAATAAATGGGATTTTTAATTGAATCCCTGATCTGTAATAGGAATCTGTAATGGATTTAAAATTTTATCTCCATTTGACCACTGCTCCTCTTCAGATATCCGGGATATAGTGGATAGAACAGTTTTTATTTTTTGCAAATGCTTAGAGGTTTGCAATGAGAATGAATCCAATATGAGTCGAACGAAGAAATTAAAAATTTAATGTCCGAAACAATGCAATGGATAAAACCCGGCTGAAAAGATATTTAATTAAATCTGGAACGTTCCATGCAATAACCGACATTCTCGATCTTGGCCGCAAGCTGCTCTACATTGTACATTGTGTTGCTTATATTGATCCTGCAGGCCCGATATTGGCCACAAATAACGCGGACTTGATATATTAAGATTTATTAGAGATTGCCGGATGGATAGTGCAATTATTTTCGGCGGTTAACTCGGAATTTCCTTGGAATTAGCCCAGCAGGCCAAAATCCCACACGGCTAAAACCCAGATGTATCCACTGAAAACAACTTTCACTTTATTAACCGAAACAATCACTTCTTCAGGGCCAGCTGAATTTCAGCGAGAGTTTTTCCTTTGGTTTCTGGCACCCATTTCAGCCCTAAAACCATGGTGGCCAAGCAGCTGATGCCATAAACGAAGAAAGGCCCATACAGACCCACATATGTGGTAAGCAAGGTGAAGATATTGGAGGCGATAAAAACGGCAACTCCAAAAGCCAGCGCCAGCACGGCCAAACTCTTGTACTTCATGTTACCGGTGAAAAGTTCCCCGAGCATTACAGTGGGAACGATTCCGAGTCCTGTGGAAAACATCATCACATACGCCAGCATTCCCGCTAAAGGAAACCAGCTCAACGCATCCAGAGGGATCACATGGTACTGATCCAGCGCAAAATACACCGACATCACCAGCAGAATCACTCCACAGCCTGCAGTGGAAAGAGTCAACGCCGGCCGCCTGCCAAACTTTTCAATCCCCGCACTGCATGCCAGGCCGCACACTCCGGAAGTTGTCAGGAAAATAATCGAGCTGATCTGAGGGCTCAGATTGCTGCCCGCCATCTGGAAGATCATCTGAGCGTAGTTGAGGAAGATGGAGACTCCGGAGAATTGCTGGCCGCATCTGAGCAGCAAGCCGGCGCGCAGCGCCCTGCGGTTGTTGCTGATGGTGACCAGGTTCCGAAACGTGCCCCCATCGGCTAGCTGCTGCTCTACGTCGGCTTTGAGGCTCAGAAAATCCTCCTCAATATCCGGCTTTCTCAGCAGCCACTTCAAGCTGCTCTTCGCCTGCTCCAGCTTGCCATCTTTGATCAGCTGATGAGGAGTTTCGGGCAGGAAACTCATGAGTCCGATGAAGAGGAGTGAGGGCACCATGCAGATGTAGGATGTGGTTTTGATGTCGACGTAACTGCCTGAAAAAGAGAGTTTGCAGGAGAGATTGAGGAAAAAATTTACGATTTTTGTTGGTGTTGGACGGGGTTTTGCTCCTGAAGCGAACATCAGCTACTGGCACTTGCAAAACGACAGGAACAAATTATTTTCCACAAAAAATCAGTCATTTTTTTCGGTTCGTGTTATAAACTTACTTCTTGCCTTTTTACCTTATTTTGCCCATCGGCAAGCAGGGCTGTAAAATGCATCTGCCAAATAAAGCATGTTTCGAGAGTCTTAATTTCCGGCTTCTTGCCAACGTTTTGCAAGCACGAGTGTCTTGCATCTTCAGAGGTGTTACCCTTGAAAGCTCACTCAGGGCTGATCCTGAGTGTTTTCAAGCTCCCCGCTTGCAAGTGAAAAACACGACTTCAAAGCGCATGAGATTAGCCCAAATCTTCCAAGTTTGCCAAATATACAGATTTCTGTAGATCATGGACCAGAAATAGAAAACAATTGTCGGTTAGTGAGCGTTCGAGCCAAATTCCTCAATTTTACTGCACCCAAAACAAAGTCTGTTGACTCAACTAATCCTCACAAGTTCGCACTGATTAAGCAAGCTTTTCATTCACCTTCAGTTCGTTTGTTTAGTACGCATGAAAGTGCATTTTTGCAGCATTAAAAACCTACCCAAAACTGTGATGAGCAATGATCCGAAGAATGTGGCCATCACCGGGATGAATCCACAGTAGCCGCGCACTTTGGGCGTGGTGATTTCCCCAATATATGGTGGCCCAGCGCAGAAAAAAATCGTATCCCCCATTCCAGCCATGAATCTGGATGCGTAAAAGTCCCATTTGCTGACGGCAAACAGTACGATTATCCAGGAGATCAAGTGGGGAATAGCTAGAATCCAGATGGACTTTTTCGTGCCCAGGTACTCGGACAGTTTGAAGAAGAAGAAGCTGGTGAAGATCATTCCTAAAAGAAAGTAGTTCAAGCTATGTGCAAAACTATTATGAAAATTGCCTTATTCAATCTTCTTGGGGCATTTGGAAGATATTTAGCCACTTTGCGATCAATTATTGGCAAGAACTCAGCATCTGGTGAAGATGGTGGAAGAAGCCAAGAAAGCGCTCAGTAAACAGACTATTTTTGAAACTTTGTTCACCGAACTTTTCCTAGGTTCCTTTCTTGATCTCGAATTAATTGAGTTTACAAAACCCGCCCATGCTGCGAGTGCTCTTTAATTTTAAATCATTCAAGACACTTTCAACTTTAAGTGACATGCTTCGATTTTTGCCTTTTATTTAAAAACCAACCACTTTTTCTAAAAAACTGCAATTTTCCGCAAAACCCCTGCTACTTTGAAACATTTTATTGACATCGCCAATAGCCTTGCGAGGCTGCAACTAACCGAATTTGGCTCCTGTTTTATTTAGGGGCAATGAAAACGAAACGATCCCTGTAGTTTCTTTACTGCGGTTTTATACAGGAAATAGCGACGAATCTAAATTAAATTTGCATTTGGCTTGGTGGTCTTTGGATACATTCAGTTGATCAAAGCGTTGCATTTTTTCTTCTTACCTAGCGGTTGGAAAATCAAAAAGTTTGCAGTATCGGCTTCCGTTATATCATAATTGACTTTGTCCTGGCTTAGAACCATGCTGAATGGGGAGCTCCAGGACCACATGAAGCCCACACTCATGCACCCGATGGCAACTAAAAAAAAATCTCTGAAAATCCCACAAAGTGATTGAAAAAAATATTTTTACTCACTGACAATCACTCCTAGAACCTGCGTCCATTGTCTACCTTCGTTGGCCCTTTCTGCAGGCTTGCAGGATTTTTCCTGCATTTGGGCGCACATTTCCTGCAGAAATCCAATTTGATGTTCAAATCTGCTAGTCACTTAACACGCATTGCAATACTGCGAATATATAAGACTCCAGCTTAGAGTGTTATCTTTACGCTTTATAAATATTTTTGAAGATGGTCCTTATCGAATTTGACTAAGGCCTTGATAGAATTGTACAAAAACAACAGATAATTCTGGTGCTGGATGCTAAATTGTGCAAGTAAAATGAGAAAAGCACGAATTATACTCGAAAATTCAAAATGTGTAGTTGGAACCCATACCTACGTGTTTTGTGACATTTCTTCAACTCGATGTTAAGAAAAGTTTCGTGACCAACTTCAATCAATGATATGAAAATGGTCTAAAAAGGAATGAAAATGTTGATGGCAGTTCTATGAAAAAGTTGTAAAATATATAGGCGATGGAAGTACAATGGATAGTTTTGCGAAAATGTGCCTTCGCCTTTAAAAAATCATATTTTTCAAACTAGCCTCCCAAAATATTTGAAACTTTCCCTGTCGTTCGAAGCGATCTGCTGCTTCATCTACTGGAAGTTTTGTGATAATGGGCGGAAATGCTGATTTTTACCAGCTTTGTAAAGATCAGTGCAAAAATGGAAGCCCATACCCAACTGCGCTCTTGCTTTTAAAAATTCGCATCTTCCAAACCGAAACAGGCAGAAATATGGAACTTTTGTCATGCATAGACAATCCTTCACTGAGAAGTTCTTGGAAGTTTCATAAAAATCCCGCAAACTCATGATTTTTGCCAACAGCCCAGTACATGTTGGCCTCTAAGTTACGAACCATCGGACTCATTATGGATCTTTATAATTAACTGTGCTCTCTCCTTTAAAAATGCATAGCTTCTAAAATAAAGTAATAAGAAACATAAAATTCTCAACATAGTTAGACGATAGCTGGAGCCAATTTTGCGGAAAGTTTCATAGGAATCGCCCAGAACTCGGATTTTTGCACGCCTAGTCAATATCGGTTTCAAAATGAATGATTTTCTTCAACTGCGCTCTTCCTTTTAAAAATTCAGTTTTTCAAACGAAAACAAGTAGCAACTTGAAATTCGCACCATGCTTAAACGAAATGTGATTATAATTCTAGTCACAGTTTCACAAAAAAAATCCAAAAATTAGAACTTTTCTAGCTTAGGACATATCAGTATCCAAATTGACAATATTTTTCAACTGCCCTCTCGCATTTAAAACTTCATATCTTCTAAATTAACGTAAGTAGCAACTTGAGGTTTGCACTATATTTAAAAATCATTTGACACAAACCAAATTGTGAATTTGATAAAAATTGCGTGGTGTCTAATTTTTTAGAGCTTAGTCAATATCGGTTTCAAAATGAATAGTATTCCTCAACTGCACGTTTTCCTTTATAAAAGTGCGCCTTCCAAACTAAAGCCAGTAGCAACATGAAACTTTTACTCCGCTTAGAAAATACTTGACCCTATTTATCTGTGAAGTTTCTAATAAATATCCCGAAAGTCTTCTTTTGGCGAGTTTACCAAATATCGATTTCAAAATCGATGGTTGTTCTCAACCGCGCACTGTCCTTAAAAAAATCGTGTTATTCAAACGACAGCAAGCACCAACTTGAAATTTACACAAAACATGGAAGATACTTGTCTCTTATTATGTGTGGAGTGTCACAAAAGTGGCCCAAATTCCTGAATTTTCTAAGCTTAATCAGATTTCGATCTGATGATTGATGGATTTCCTCAACTGCGCACTGTCCTTTAAACATTCGTCTTTTTCAAACACCACCAAGTAGCAACTTGAAATTTGCAACATGCTCAGGATATACGTGGCTTTAATTATGCGCCACGTTTCACAAAACTCACCAGGAAAACTGGATTTTTGCCCGCTTAGCAAAAATTGGTTTAAAAATGTTCTTCAGCTGCGCGGTCTCGTTTAAACAGCAGAAAATTCGCGGAAAATACTTAAGGCAATCACAGATTCATACTGAAAACAACCAAATGATAGAACTGAAAAACAGATTAATAAAAAATTGCTGATTTAATTAAAGAATTAATTGCAAACTCGCACTTAATGCAATCATTGTTAAGCGCACAGTAACGAACAGGCTGTGAAGACAGGGAGGAACCAAAATAATTTAAAAAGGAAATGACCAAAACTGACAACATGGAAAGTGCAACAGAAAAAATTCCATAAAAAAATGAGAAATTGAACTTGAAAACTTAAATATTTAAATCAGAAATGAACATTCAAAGTAATTATTAATAATAGCAAACATGAAAGACAATGAAAGCAGCTAAAGAGCTAAGAAAAGAAGAGTATAAAAGTTACTTGATAATGCAAACATTGCAGGAAACATGTGCAATTTGATAAAGTAATAATTGTATCATTAAATGGCAAAGATGCCTAAACCGCTGCTTTGGATGCAAGTATTCCGGTAACAAAACTTTCCCAGCTTTGCCCCACTGGCTGGAAATTGCGTTCAACCCACTATTGGTCGGGAAATGTCTCTGATCAGCACCGATTAGTCGTTCCATGACAATAATTGGATAATAATGAACATCTTTATCGCAAATAGCGATTCGACCAAAGCGACTGGAAATTGATATTTGCATAATCCAGCTTGCACCATGTAAGGCCCCCATTAGGGTATCAGGAATCGCTAATTAACTTTAGTAGATACATGCAAATCGCCTGTGTCTATATCTTTTTATTTTAGTGTTTTGGCCATTGTTTAATCGAGTTTTCGACTGGAAATTCTGTCCCATCAAATCGAGTAGATCACATAAAATCGCCTCAAACTAGACGGTATTTGCTAAAATGTTATCCGCAAGGCTTTCAAGCGAATTGGCCACAAATTATATTAAATTCTACGCCAGTCATGCAACGGCTAAGGCGCATTCACTCTTAAAAGCTGCCAAAGTATTCCCGATCTTAATTCAACTCAAAAAATTGCTAAGTTATGTATTTCTACTGGTTTAGCAAGCAAAAGTAGGATTATTTAGAAAAAATCCGACGCTAAATATGCTGAATCGCCCAAATTCCTGAGGTTTGCTGGCTTGGCAAATATCGGTTTGAAAATGGATAATTATTTAAATAAATTCACATTTTTAGAACTGAAGCAAGTAGTTACTGGAAATTTGCAGCATGCTTAGAAAACACTTGCTCCCAATTATCGTCGCAGTTTCATCAAAATCGTAAAAAATGCTTATTTTTGCCAGATTGGAAAATATCGATTTGAAAATGGAAATTTTCTTCAACTGCGCTCTCTTCTTTCAAAATCCACATTTTCCTAACTGAAGCAAGTAGAGACTTGAAATTTTCGCTATGCTGAGAAATCACTTTATCCTAATGGTGCTGAAACTTTCTAGAAAATCACCCGGACTCCTGATTTTTTCCAGATTAGGCAATATTGATTTGAAAATGGATGGAGTTCTGCAACTGTACTCTCTCGCATAAAATTTCCTTTCTATGAAACGAAGCCAAGTAGACACTTGAAATGTCCAACATTTGTCGAAGACACTTTGCTCTAATTACCTGTGCAGTTTCCTAAAAATCGCCCAAAATCTTGATATTTTCCCACCTTGGCGAATTTCGATTTCAAAACTGTTAGTTTTCTTCAACTGCACTTTCTCTTTAAAAATTTCGTTACTTTCAAATCAAACGAAGTATCAACCTGCCATTTGCACCATGCATAGAAGACACTAGACGCAAACAGGAGACTAACAGGCAAAAAAACGGTTTATTTAACAGGACTCTTAAGAGATTGCTGGATTTCCTCCAGCGTCTTCCCCTTGGTCTCGGGCACCCACCTCAACGTGAGAAAAGTTGAGATGAAGCAACAAATGGCGTAAAGTAGAAAAGGAGAGTACAGCCCCACATATGCCGTCATCACATGGAAGAGATTAATGGAAACCATCACTCCTATTCCGAAGACACAGACCAGAATTCCCAAGCCCTTGGACTTGATGCTGGCCGAGAAAAGTTCCCCAAGCATAAGAGTGGGTACCAGACCCAGTCCTAAGGAGTAGGTGATGACGAAGGTGATTAGGGCCGCCAATGGAAACCAGTTGAGCTTCTCCAAGTTGGCCAGCTGGAACTGCTCGATGAAGAAGTAGATGGAGATGCCCAAGAGCACCATTGCGGAGAGCAGCAGGGAGTAGAAGTAGGAGGTTCTCCTGCCCATCCGGGCTACGAAGAATGTGGCGGCGATGTTGAAGACCGCCACCACTCCAGTGAAGATCATCGAAGATCCCTGGGGACTGAGATTTCCACCGGCTTTCTGGAAAATCGTCTGCGTGTAGGTGGCGAAGGTGGAGATGCCGCAAAACTGCTGGGAGAGGCGCACAAATACTCCCGCTTTCAGCGCGTTTCGGTTGGTAGGGATTCGGACCATGTCGCACCAGGTTCCACTTTCAGAAATTTGCCTCTCGACGTCCGCCTTCATGGAGAAGAACTCCTGATTGACGTCCTCCTTTCGTTGCAGCCACTGGATGCTCCTCTTTGCCTCCTCCAGCTTTCCTTCTTTAATAAGCTGGTAGGGGGACTCTGGCAGGAGGACAAGCACCAGGATGAAGTAGGCGATGGGCAGCCCTATGCAGATGTAGGCAGTTGTTCGGACGTTGAAGTAGCTTCCTGAGAAAAAATGCTTTTTAATTGCGCGAGGCAGATTTCGCTGTGAAAATGTGGTAAAGTGAAAATTTGCTGCTTTTTCGCAGAGGCTTATGGTTGGGAAAAATTCGCATCTTCCAAACTAAGGCAACAAGGTATTTGAGGTTTTAACCATCTTTAGCCAATACGTGCTCCTAAAAATGTTGAGAGTTTCTCGAAAATCGCACCCAATCCCGATTTTTCCCAGCTTAATGAACATCAGTGCAACAATGTATGTGTTTGCTCAATTGAACTCTCTCCTTAAAAAATTCGTATTTCTCAGACTAAGACAAGTAGCGATTTGCAATTTTCGCCCCGTTTAGAGGATGAATCAGCGAAACCATTCGGGAAGTTTGATGAAAATTGTCCGGAATCTTGATTTTTCCCAGATTATTAGATGTTGGGCTCAAAGTTAGTAGTAATCGGTTTCCAAATGAATGGTTTTGTCAACTGCACTCTATCTAAATATTCGTATCTTCCCAACTAAAGCAAGTAGCAACTTGAAATTTTCACCATGATTAGAAGACACTTGGGGCTTAATGCTTAACAAAAATTACTCAAAACCGTTATTCCTACCAGCTTTGTAAATATCGGTTTCAAAATGCATGATTTCCGTCTACTGCGCTCTTTTTTTTATTCTTATTTTGCAAATCGAAGCAACTGGGATCTTTAACTTTATCCCATCTTTAGAGAATACCTAACGCTAACTACCCGAAAAGTTTCACAAAAATTTCATAAAATCCTGATTTTTTCCAGCTTAGTAAATATCCGTTTCAAAATGCATAGTTTTTCTACAACTGCTCTCTTTACTTAAAAAATCTCAACTTCCAGACTAAAGCAAGTAGCAATTTAAATTTGGCAGCATGCTTAGTACGCACTTGGGCCGAAATATTCTGAAAGTTACACAAAAATCTCCCCAAACCGTTAATATTACCAGCATAGTAAATATCGGTTTCAAAATGAATGATTTTCGTTAACTGCGCCCCCCCTTTCAAAAAATCGCAATTTCCCAACGGAAGCAAGTAGGCTCTTGAAATTTGGACCGTGTTTAGAAGATGCATGTGGCTGAACATGCTAAATGTTTGGTCTAAATCACCAAACATCCTTATTTTTGCCAGTTTAATAAATGTCGGTATGAAAATGGACAATTTTTGTAAACTGCTCCCTCTTCTTTAAAAATTCGCACCTTCCTAACTGAAGCAAGTAGCAACTTGAAATTTTCATCATACTTAAAACAAACGTTGCTCTAATTACTGTCGAAATTTTATAAAAATCACCAAAAATCCTTAATTTTTTCCACATCGAAAAATATCGTTTGAAACTGGATAATTTTCTTCAACTGCGCTTTCCTCTAAAAGTAATGATGTTTCCCAAACTAAGTCGAGTAGTTAGTTAAAATTTCCACCCTGCTCAGAGAACACTTCACCCAAATAATATTAGAAGTTTCGTAAAATATCCATTCCTTCGAAAATTCTTATTTTTGCCAGCAAGATAAATATGGGTTTCAAAATGGACAATTTTGTTCAACTCAGCTCTCTTGTTTAAAAATCCACAGTCTCCTATCTAGAGCAAATGTTCACTTGAAATTTTCATCATGCTTAGAAAACACTTTCCCGAATTATTAATGATAAAGATCCTCAAAAACTGTTAATTTTTCCAGGTTGATAAATATCGGTTTAAAAATGGAAAACTCCTTCAACTGTGCTTGCTTCTTTAAAAATGTACAGTTTTCCAACTGAAGCAAGTGGCTACTTGAAGTTTTTACCATGCGTGGAAAATACTGGACCCTAATTATTTTCGGAGTTTCGTGAAAATATCCGGAAATACTTATTTTTGCCAGCTTGAAAAATGTAGATTTGAAAATGGATAATTATTCTCGACTGCGCTCCCTTTTTAAAAAATCCACATTTTCCAAACCGAAGCAAGTCGGCACTTCAAATTTACACGATGATTAGAAAAGTTTCACCAAAATCGCCTAAAATTCTGAATTTTTCGAGCTCAAGAAATATCAGTTTCTAAATGGAGCATTTTCTTCAACGGTGCTCTCTCCTTTAAAAATTAGCGTCTTCCCACTTGAAATAGCTAGCAACCTGTAACTTGGAGCATCTTTAGAAGAGGCTTTTCTCTAATCCGGAGAGAAGTTCCATCAAAATCGGTAAAAGCGTTTATTTTTGTAAACCTAGTAAATATCAGTTTCAAAATGGAAATTTTTCTTCAACTGCGCTCGCTTCTTTAAAAGTTCGCATCTTCCACCCTGTTACAAGGAGCAACTTCATATTTGCCACGTCTATATAAAAGCTCGGACGCTAGATATTCGGAAGGTCTAACAAAAATCGCTAGAAATTCTGATTTTTGGCAGCTTAATATCGGTCTCTATATGAAGATTTTCACCCAACTGCGCTCACTCTTCGTCCAAGTCTCTAAAACTTCGCATCTTCCAAACCAAGGCAAGCAAAACTTTGAAAATTTCAATTTCACCATCTTTAGAATATCCTGGACTCTTTTGCCTCAACTATAAAACTGTACACTTTTTCAGGTTTAGATGGAATTGAGATGGAAATTTCCAGGTGCAACTTAGCGAAAAAACCTTGCGAATAAATGTCAATGTAATTTGGAATTAAAAAAAACCTACGAACGCAGTGAATTTGTATTGTTAACGAACTGAAATCACTGTGTGTGTGTGTTTACACAACCTTGCCGGTAAATCTTACTACGTTTGTATCGTAAAGACGCCATAAAAATTAATTAGACTTGAAGATTTTGCGCAAACTGGTTTTTCTGCAGAATTTCCACGCTTTCTTAACACTAAAACAGCAAATTAGTCACTTAGTTAGGACCGTTCAAAAGTATATGCAGATTGACATTAGAAACTGAAGATGACTGGCATGTGTGCTAACGAAACGTCAGAACTAAATAAATACAAAAATAGCATTAAATAAACGGATGCAACAGAAGCTTTCTCGGTCTTACCAAGAGTGGTGATGGCAAATCCTCCAATATAAACGAAAAAAGTGGGCACATTGGCCCAAAAGTTCCTCACACTTGGAGTGGTTATTTCCCCCACATAAGGAGGAATGCAGGAGAAGACAGCGGCGTCTCCAAATCCAGCAATAAATCGCGAAATGTAAAACTCCCACTTGCTGGTCCCCACAATCCCGATTGTCCAGGTCAAAATATGAGGAAGGGCAATGAGCAGCAGGGACTTTTTCCTGCCAATCAGATCGCTGATCGGAACCACGAAAATCGTCATCACAATCATTCCTGCAATCGAAACAAACTGGTCCTGGTGCACTATCTGGAAAACCTCCAGCTTACCAATCGGCTGGAAAAGCATGAATAATTCCGTGTCCGCTTCGGTAATGTTGTAGTTTTCCTTGTCCTGAACTATCACCAGTGAAAAGGGCGAACTCCACGAAAACTGGATTCCTGTGGTAAAGCACCCAATGGAAACTGAAAATTCCGCGTGGTTGAGTACGGGAGTGCCTATTTTTTGGGGCACTTACGAATCAAAATCGCCAGAATCTGCGGCCACTGTTTGCCCCCATTCTGGTCAATCTGGTTACCGCTTTCCATGTGGCTTTTCAACTTATCGCCCGTCATTTCTTTACTAAACCAGCCAAACTATCATGCCTGCTTTTATAAAATTCAGTCATAAAGTTGAAAATGATTTGCAGGATTTTTCAAATATTTTATCGCTAAAAGCAAATAGGAATCAAGCTTGTTGTCTCTGGCGCAATAACTTTCGAACGGAAAACAAACCGATGTAATTAGTATTTTTTATTGTTTGGTTGCTTATTCAGATTTGTTAAAATTTGCCGGGTTTATTGATGGGTTTTTAAAAAATTACTGAAATGAACCGTTTTATAAATCGCAATAAATAGTAATAATTAAAAAGTTCTTATTTTCCATATTCTGACAATTTCGATTTTGTTGGCTTCATCAGGGATTTGAGGAAAGTATTTTTAATTCAAAGAAGGCTTTGTGCAACCTTTAACTTTGCCATGATTATTTTTACATGGACAAACGATTTTTTAAAAATCGGCAATAAGCGATTTATAGCACAAATAAGGTTTTATTGCCCTTTAAAGTTTCTTTTGTGAAGCTTTGTTAGGGATTTTTCGAGCAGAATCCAAACTCATTTGGTCGATCGAATAAATGACCGAGAGATCGTAAAAACATTTTCTTACAGCCAATAAATATTAAAAAATGCTGTAGTTTTACATCGATTGCCAAGCCATTGCTTCAGATGCTCTAAAAGTGTCGGTTTTAGCTTCATCAGAGATAAAAAATGTTTCAGTTTAAAAAAACTATCATTCTATGAGCTCTGTGCAAGCGTTTGCTTCTCAATTAATTTCTTACAAAGGAAATTTAATTAAAGTCCCAGAATTCCGCATCCATATAGTGGAAATGTTGTTTCTCCAAGCCCTGAAAGTTAATTTTTGCAGCTTGACGACATTTTGAGGAGAATCGCGACAGTTTGAAGCATTTCTTAGGTCGAATAAACGACAATCATTCCGTTGACAATCAATTTTATTACAGCCAAGATTAGAAGGCTTATTTGATAATTAATTTCGCATCAATTGAGAACACGGAAAAGTGCCCAAAATGTTCATAGATAGCACAGGCTATGCTTTATAAATCAAGCATGTTTTAGTCAATGGGGCTCCATTAGGGATTAAAAAAAAATATCATCCAAACAATCATCTCAAGCGTTTTTACTACAAAAACTCATAATAAAACGATATAGAACTGTGACGAGAGACTTTCTACTCACGAAAATTTTCACTTTTGCGCCCAAAATAGGTAACAAATGGAGATTTTTGAACTGTTGGCACAGTGAATCGGACACAAGCGTTCCTAGCCAGCATGAAATAGGATTAATCCTAGTTCCTCGCAATGTTAAAAGAATCAACATGCTTTCGAAAGCTTACTAAGCGTGACATATCGGTCATAGCTTTATAAAAAAACATTTTGGCTTAAAATAGTATCAGGACTGCGCTAGAAAATTGCATCCAGCATGTCACGTAAAACTAATTAAAATTAGTTCAAGGTCCAGAAAACCGTTGAATATAAAATAGCTTAATTAATATTCAAATAAAAAACACTCAGTGTGAAACAGCAGACTTATGTCGTTGTCTAAAAAAACATTTATCAGTCGACCCTGCTCCTAGGTAGCTTCAAGTATGCCAACTTGCGCAAAATCGACTAGCAGAACTTTCGCGTCTAGCTGCTGGGTATTCTGTTGAACTAGAACCTTCAGCCTTCAAAGTCAACTGTTGGATGCAGAGACAAGTAGTTGTCTCTGGTTGGATGTTTGTTTACAAAATATTCTTGTTTTCAAAAAATTGTCTTCTAAACATGCCCCTCTGCAAGAGGATACTCGCTTTTTGTGGCCTGTCGTGGGGTACAGAGTGCACCAAGTGTCGCCCGTCCATTCCAAGCACTTCTTTAGGCAGTGCGAACAATATTGGGGATTTCGAGGCCTGATATAGGTAAAAGCGCGATTAGCGAAAAGTTCGCTTGGAAGCAGTGTTGTGTTTTTTAGAGCACGCGAGGTTCGAAATAAGTGCTGGCAGGCATCTTGAAGATCTTTAACCTTTGAGGTATCAAAGTGCAAACTATCCGCAGGCACAGTGGCCCTGTATTCATGTGATAAGGGCTATAGAATGGGGCTCGCTCTGAGCAGTTTCAAACCGTGCCTGTACAGTAAGTTAGGCACTATTGGCTTAGGGAGTTAGAGGATGTTCAAATTTCTCGTTACAGGTGGATGTTTGGAGTTGATCCCACCTGCACGCTGCTAAGAAATCGAACCTGCCTTAAGCCTGCAGATTTTCAAGTTGGCACCCCCCTAATCCTGCCAGGGGAAGAGGTAGGCTGGATCTAAGTGCAAATTTGGGGGCTAACGGCTTTGCCCTGCCATATCGACGCCCTGAACTCAAGCCGTGAATGTTTTTTGCAGGTTGAATACCATTGTTTGCATGGGTACTCTGACCGGCTCCAAGCGACTGGCATGTTTCCATGCAGGTGCTTGGGCGAATGGGTGCCCCGGTTGCAGCCGGCTTTAGAGATGGAGGTGAGTGAAGCGTAGCGCTCCTTTAACGGTTACAAAGTATGTTTAAAAATTTTCATTTTTAAAAATACATTCGCCTTAAAGGACCACACCCTAAATATAAACCGCTTTGGCAACATGCCTTTTACAATTAGCCGGTATTTCCTCTCTGTTGTGGCAGATGTCCCTGCAGGCGCGTTGTTATTGATTTCGCCGGTTCGCCTCTTCAATCGACTTGGCAAAAAGGTTTTTTTCTGGCCGCTAAACTGGCATTTTAATCCGGTTGAATCGCGAAAGTGCAAATTTGTGTTGTCCAAATGGCTGGCCAGACGATCAGTGACCGGCTGCTGGCCGCTAAACACAGCTTGGCCGGACAGGGCTTAGCCAAATCGGTGTGCAAAGCCACCACCGAAGAGATGTTGGGCCCCAAAAAGAAGCACCTGGATTATCTCGTGCATTGCACAAATGAGCCGAACGTGTCGATTCCCCAGATGGCCAATCTGCTGATTGAGCGGTCGCAGAGCACCAGTTGGGTGGTGGTGTTTAAATCGCTGATAACCACCCACCATCTGATGTGTTACGGAAACGAAAGATTCACCCAGTATTTGGCTTCCAGCAACGTATCCTTTCAGCTGAATAATTTCACCGATAAGACTGGCGTGCAGAGTGCTGTGGGGGCGCGCACTGGCTACGACATGTCCCCATTTATCCGACGATATGCCAAATATCTGAATAACAAGGCCTTGTCCTACCGGGCGGTGGCCTTCGACTTTTGCAAGGTGAAAAGAGGCAAAGAGGAAGGCACCTTGCGAACTATGGATGCGGAAAATCTGCTAAAAACTCTGCCAATTCTGCAGAACCAGCTGGATGTACTGATGGAGTTCGAGGGCAGCACCAATGATCTGACCAATGGGGTGATCAACATGTGCTTTATGCTAATGTTTAGGGATCTGATTCGTCTGTTCGCGTGCTACAATGACGGCATCATCAACCTGCTGGAAAAGTACTTTGAACTGAACAAGAAGCAATGCAGGGAAGCTTTGGAACTGTACAAAAAGTTCCTGATTCGAATGGATCAGGTGGCGGAATTCCTCAAGGTGGCAGAAAGCATCGGGATAGACAAGGGCGACATCCCGGACCTAACCAGGGCTCCAAACAGTCTGCTAGACGCGCTGGAGCAGCATTTGGCTTCCTTGGAAGGAAACACCCCCACTGCTGCCTCCAATCACAAGAGTCTAAAATCGGGGGTTTCTGCCCTGGCCAATACCAGCTCGGCGTTTGGCTCTGCCATGGAGGACACCTTCAAGCAGGCAGTAGCTGAAGAAGAGGCTGCTTTCAGCCAGTACAGGGCTAGCATTGGCTCGCCCACTCTGGCCAGCACCAACCCTTTTCTGAGCGAGGAACCCCAAGCCCCTAAAGCGGAGGCCATTCTCGACCTGTTTGGGGAGGACGCAATGCTTTCAGGGGCTCCTACTGGGGCTGCACCCGCTCAGACCAATGCCCTAGATGATCTGCTGTCCCTTGGCGGTATGTATCCCTGCGTGATTCGTCCCATGAGTCAAAAATTCGAAAATGGAATCATTTCACATTCAAAAGCAATTCCAGGCGTACATCCTAAATTAAACATCAGCATTAAAGTTGTAATTCAGGGGCGTTTCGCACTGGAACGACCAGATGCTAGTCCGAGTGCGGTGGGAATTGATGCTTTTTCTCTCATGGGACTGTCAACAGATGAACCACTGAAACATTGTGGAAGTGGTTCCTTTTTCGAAACTTGAATAGTTGTGGTTTAGTTGCTGGCAAAGAAACTGCTTGTTTCAGGCAACCCATTTGCGGACTTTTCTGCGCCCACTGTTTCCAATGGAATGGACTTTTTCGCACAGTCAGCGCCCGCTCCAAACATGTGGAGCGTCCCCCAGCAGCCGGCGCCCCCCGTTCAGCAACCATTCGGCGATCTTTCCAATGTGTTCAACACGTCCACGTCATCGGTCTTTGACCCAATGGGGGCTGCAGCGCCCAGTGCCCCCGCGCAGCCTCCCAACATGCCTCCCCAGCGCCCACCCCAACCATCTAAAATCCTCACTGGCGATCTGGAATCCAGCTTGAGCTCACTGGTGGAAAACCTCACAATGGATTCGGGGGGCGGCAAGTGGAACTCGCCGAAAAATCAGCCGAAGACTTCGAGCGCAGTCGGCTGGCAGCCCCAATTGATGGCCACGACCAATGCAGCCTCTTACCGGCCTATGACTGGGGCGCAGCCCCAACAGCAGCCTCAGACGGTTGGGCAGCCGATTTTTGGCAATACCGATTTTTTGATGGGTGGTTTCCAGCAGCCGCCAATGTCCGGCGGCTCCAAAGGGGGCGATTCTACAGGCCAACCCCAAAAGGCTTTTGACCCGTTCGGGGCATTGTAAGGGGGCAATTCTAGGTCACAGAGAGGTTTCTATAAGTTTAATAGGTTTCATTACTAGTCAGTTTTGAGGATTTGTAGTACAGGACTTTTCTGCTTGCGCAGCCCTCGAAACTTGGAGCTGATTGGAGAAAGTACATCATTTAGCTTGTGTGGAATTCAGCTGGTTGGGGTTGGAATTATCTGAACTCCCTATCAAGAAGCTTCATCGATAGTGGGCTGCAAAAGGTTTTTTGAGTATTTTGGGCCCCGATTCCATTGTGTTGGATAATACTCAATTCTTATGCATATTCATAAGGAATTACTTTACTTATTCTCTCTTGTTGAGCCGACTTGGGATTTATCACATTGTATATTATGTAAATTTAAGATGAGCATGTATATTTCTAAAGTTCAATGTTCACTGAGACTAGCAGATTCATGTTTAATTTTCCATGGCTGTAAACACTTGTTTAAAGGTGTTACAAGGCCTCAGTTAGTCTCAGGCATGGAATACTCACACAGTGCAATTTAGGTGGTTATTTTTTATTATTGAAGTAAAACCGCACGCTCTTTTGTGATAGTTTTGCTCCTGGAGCTTTTTACACATTCCAGTAATGTTATTCTTGAATCTCATTATCTACCACATAGTTCCTTTTATATATTTATTTACTGTGTTTGTTGAGCTCGAAATTGTCATCCATAGTGATTGTACAACCAAAGATAACTTAAGTTTAAGATATACAATAGATTTTTAGTTAAACGCTCTCTCTAGCAAAGTTCAGTGTAATCAGTATGTGACAATATAAACTGTGAAAAAAGTTGGAAAATAAATATTTCGCTTATGTGTTTACATCGTGTATTTTTCTAGCTTGTGGTCCATTTGTAAGCATTTTTTCCTCGATAACTCGTGTATTATTGACGTAATGTTTCAATCTGCCGATGTGGAACTCATGTAATGACCACCCCCGCAACATGCCGGTACCGAGGCCTTTGATTTTGCCGCATGTTGTCCACTTAGGTGGGCCCCAATCGTTCCGGTTAAAATTACGATGTCGGTTTTTTGAAATATCGCCACATTCATCTATGAATCGCACAAGGCAAAGGAACGTTGCAGTAGTGTGTCGTGTTTACTGCGGAATTTCAAAGTTCTTATCTGTAATTTGGACTTGGAAAAATTCAAAGTTTTTTAAGGCACATTCGCCTTTTTAGCCAGAAGTTGGCAAAAATGTTTTCCTCGGTTGATTCAGTGAATGATTTTTCAGAAATCACAGTAGATTAAATAAGAAAAATCCCGTTTTTGCCGACTTGAAAGCGGTTTTTTCTTTGCTGGTTGACTTCAAACCGGATGCTCTACGGATAAAAGAATCTAGACTATATGTTGGCTTGATATATGGCTTGGAAATGGCAATGCGATTGAAATAAACGTGCCTTACCAGTTTCTGATCTACAATTCCTGCTAACGAAGATAAATCAGCCTGGTTGATGCACATTCTTAACGAGAAATAATTCACTGCGTCTGCAGGAATGCACATACCTGTTCGTTGTTGAATTTCATCGAAGAGTTCAAATGTGTTCCAAAGACATTGAGGAGTCGATTTCGTTTAAGATATTGAGCTCGTTGGTTTAAATTTGGCAGAGCACGCTCGCTTTATTCTTATGCTCTAAAGATTCATACGAAAACTGTCCACAGTAGAACACCTTGTTAGTGATTGTTCAAAAAATGAGTATAGACATTTTTTAAATAGAAAAACCTATCGGTGCTATTGAGAATACAAAAACCGCTTGAATTAAGGGAGTAAATCAGACATCAATATTAGTAAGATCGCCAACTTTCTCACACGATATTAAAAAGCGTAGTTCACAGCAAAACACAGTCGTTTTATATTTATATTTTAAAGATTCATATAAAAACCGTCCGCGGAAGGCACTATGGCTAGCTAATGTTGAAAAACTGAGTGAAAATTATTTTGAATTTAAAAAAATCTAGGCGAATCCGGAAAAAATAACCTAATGCGACAAAAAATTGTAACAATTTATATAAAAACAAAAAGTCTCCTACAGAAAACCTCATTGGTTAACGTCTAAAATTTGACTTAAATGAAAAATGAAAAAACCTTTGCAATATTCCAGAATCTCCCTGGTCGTTCCTCTTCGAACAAAAATATTCAAGAATCATRTCATAAAATAAAAATCAACKATTTTGCACTAAAAGCTCTAGAACTTACSGAAAGCTGCATCGTTCCAGATGCAAAGAAACAACAAAATATGTTTATTACAGAAAGAAATTTGTTCTAAACCATTAAGAATAAGAAATGTAACGAATGCATAAAGCTTCAGTTGCTTTTCGGAAAATTAAACTTAGTTCAAACTAGAGAAGTTATAGATCAGAAAAAATCCATACCAGCTTTGTGCAAGCTGGCGCCCCATCCTCCATTCTCTGCCCATTAATCCAAAACACACAATTAAAGTCCAATCCGCATTAAAAACTTTAATACTGCAGTGTGCAGTCAGAATATACTACCGCACTTGTATTTATACTATTTAGACTATACTTTTGTATCTAAGAACGCGATTTACACGACATAAACAGCACCCGACCTGTTGGAAAGCTGTAAATTACATTTAAAAAAGTGACTTGGTGATGGGATTGAAATATGTAATGGATTTAACACCATACGAATAGTTAAAGGTAACTACAGGTAATTCTATAAACAGTATTTAATTTTCAGTTTTTATAAATAAAGTTATAAGATAAACTGTTATTAGTAAACATAAACATTTTGTACAAAAAACATGCTTTACCTGAAACGTTTTTAAATTTTCAAAATATTAATACCTAGTCCAAACTAGCGAAGAAATGTTTACAAAAATTTTTTTTGCAACTTTTTTGGCAAGGTTTGAAGATGTAAAAACCGAACACACAAATGTAATGTTGAGATCAAATACATCTGAAGCTGACTTGTTTGTTAAATACAGTCGTTTCTTATAGTTTTATTAATATATTTATCTATCTACATATTTAAAGAACTGACGTCAATTTCAAATGATTTTTTTCTGAAAATTTCTTGTCATTGACGGCCTTTAGCGACGCTGCTAAATATTATAGTATAATTATTTATAGTTATATAATTTTGTATGGTATAATTAAATAATAAGCTTTATAAATATGTCTCGACCTACGTTTCTTATAATCTACTATGAATTTAAAAACTTTTTCACCCCGAAAAAAAATCAGACTGGTTGGATTTGAGTGAAATACTGTCATTTGTGTCTTGATGTCTTTGCTACACCCTGTACTAGTTCTGTGTTTAAATTCGATTGCGTTGTTATCTGCTATTTTTGGCTTTTTATGGGAAGAATAGTGAACTTTCGAGCGCCAAAAATTTGTTGAAAAACGCATTTTTGGTAGAAACGCCACCAAGAAAAATTGTTAGTTAAGGAAATTTTTACAGTAAAAAGACATTTTGTTCATCAAATTCCAAAAGGATCGAAACTAGCTTCCGCAGTAGAAAACCTAGCTAGTTAAAGCTGAATAAATGAGAGCAAAATATTTCAGGTTTAATACATCACATCAGCACGATCCCTATTGAAAATACAAAATCCATCTAAATTAGAGTGTAATTAACAGAGAAAAACATGTATAACAACGCAATATTTCTTACACGAGATTAAAAAGTGTAGTTCCCAGCAGAACACACTCGCTTTATATTTACATTTTAAATGTTGAAATAAAAAGCTTCCACAGTGAAAACCTGGCTAGTTAAAGCTGAATAAATGAGAGCAAAACATTTCAGGTTTGATACATCAAACGATCCCTATTGAAAATACAACATCAGTTTAAACTAGAGTGTAATTAACCGATAAAAACATGTATAACATCGCAATCTTCCTTGCACTAGATTAAAAAGTGTAGTGCACAACAGAGCACACTCGCTTTATATTTATATTTTAAAATTTCAAGTAAAAAGCTTCCACCGTAGAAAATCTGGCTAGTTAATGTTAAAACAAAATTATTTTGAATGCGAAATATCAAGCTGAATTATTGATTATTCAAAAACCGTTTGAATTAGGGTATAAATCACAGATGAAAGCCAGTAAAAATTTACAAAAATTACCTAATTTAACAAAAAAATTGTGAGAGTTCATATAAGAACAGAAAAGTCTCTTGAAGAAAACCTTATTTGCAAACGTATTAAATCTTACTTAAAATTTGAAAATGAAAAAACCCTAGCTAGAATCCAGAATCTCCCTCGTCGTTCCTTGGCGAATAAATATGACGAGCAATTATACATATAATAAAACACAAGTCAACAATATAGGAATAAAAATTCTACATCTACATGGCAACCAGGAGAAAAGTAATGCCAAACTTACCGAAAGGTGAAACTTAGTAAATAGAAAGATTTTGAAAGTGACCTGTTTTACCTGAARAAAAAWAGATGTTAGCAAAATCAGTACCTAGATAACAAAATATTAATACTTAAAATCTGCAAGAATATGTTAAAAAAATCAACACATCAATGGAAAAGAAAAATAAGGCGGAAGTCATTTGAAAAAACTGCTATATAAAATAAGTAAAACACCCTATAAAATCACATAACGTGTTAACGTGCTATCCTCCAATAATGAACAATAAACAATAAAAAATGCAATTATTCGGACGGATTTCAGCCCTTGAAAACCCTTACCACGAATCGTTGGGCAAAAAAATTGAGTTTAAATTTTTAAATTTGGAAAAACAGCCCAAAATCTAAATGAGTTGGCCAGGATCCSTCATGGTAAAAGTACTGCTAAACTTATCGAAAGCTGCATTRTACCTACCACCTGAAAAAAAGATAAATTTGTATTATTACATAAACTTAGTCGAAAACTCAGTGATTTCATTGGAAAGAAAGATAAGCAAACATMGCCGTTCATGGGGCGACTTTTGAAAGCTAAATTMAATACTCGCTCTCCGATCAATCGTTTCCTAATTGTCCTGAAACGTGAAAACCTTGTTAGCTTGATCTATTGTGAGAGGCTGCACAATTTTTAGCAGATCCACCAGAATCAAAGTATACCATTCGCAAAATTCGCAAAATATGATTTATGAATGCTTCGCTTTGATTGCACTATTTTTCGTTTTTACATCAATGGTTTCTAAAGACGAGTTCAACGAGTTTCAAGTATTCAGGACTCAACTACCGAAGCTTTGGTTTATACGTGGCCTAAGTTGGGTTTCCTTCAAGTCACTAGTGTTATCAGAATCAAATTTTGGAGTATTTTTGTGCAATTTTTAATTTTTGGATCATTCGATTCTAATGACGATTTCTGAGCAACCAGTTGAGATATCGAAAGTCGAAGGTTCAACATTTCATAGCGAAAGCTTCAGTTTATATGCGATGTCAATTTGGTTCTATTTGAGGCAATGGTCCAATAGAGTGATTTTGGGAACCTTGGAGTGTTTTTGCTCGGTTTTCATTTTTACATTTCCAAAGACGATTTCTGATATCGGAATGAAGGGTTCAGGACTCGATAGTAAAAGCTTCAGTTTATATGCGTTGTAAATTGGGTTCCATTCAAAGCAATAGCGACAACAGAATGAATTTTTCAACTTTCGCGTGTTTTTGCCGGGTTTTTCGTTTTTATGTCAAAGGCTTCTAAAGACGACTTTAGAGAAACCAGTTGAGGTATCGAAATGCGAGTTAGGAACTCGATTAGGAAAGCTTCCATTTCGATGTGTTCTGATCTCGGTTGCCTTCAAGGCACTGGTGCCATCAGCATACATTTTGAAACTTTTGAGTGTCTTTGCACAGTTTTTCATTTTTGCATCATACATTTCCAAAGACGATTTCTCAGAGTCCGGGTATC